GCACAGAAACTTACTGCACTCTAAGCATATATGAGACTTGGTTCTATGGAGCCTCAGAAAGCAGTACTTAAAGCTATTGTTTAGTACAATGGTGTATGATCTTCATTTGAAAAGACAGGAGAACTTAACAGATTAATTTAAAAGTAAATACCAGCGAAACCAGGGATATTATCCACTTCCACGAAATCCAGAAGTTTAACAGTAGTACCCCTCCAGAGCGTCTGCAAAGGAAACTGGAAGCAGAAGCAGACGACACATTAAGAATGTTTTCATGATTTCCAGGCAACCGTCTAGTTTTTTTTTCTTATGCAAGACACCTGGGGCAATAACATTAGGGGGAAAATATAAGTGCACATCTAGAGAAGAGACATCCCTAATTGTATCTAGTTTTCCTGTTCTTCCTCATCTCATCGACAAGCAACCATTAGCATATGCAGTGACGAGCTCAGCAACCAGCTACAACAGCTGTTTGCTGTGGCTGTCTGCACTGTTCACTGCCACGAAAAGATGTCACCACAGTGTTCCGAAACCCTCTCAAATGCGTCAGTGGAAATCTCAGAGCTGAGGAAACAATACAAAACCACTGAGTTGATTTCAACTTCAAATCAAGTTTAGGATCTCCTCCACGCTAATTCCACCTCTAATGCTAAACTATGCTGGGATTTTGAAACGCCTGCTAAGTTTTAGAAGCTAAAAGAACTAAACTTGAGTTTTAGTCATTACTTAAAATATTGATGCCAAATTCAGACATGCTAGAGGATAGGAAAGGGTTAAAAAAAAAATCTACTGTCTTACCATACTTCCTATTGCACGATGCAGTTGAATTATTTGTGCAGCTGTTTGCTCTTCCCATTTTATACAACTCCTAGCTACAGATATTTTAGGAGCTAGAAGGAAAAAACGAAATTAGAAGACTTCATATTTTGTTTTGCAAACAAATAGCTGTATTATTTTATCCTATTTTAAACCCAATTTCATCCTGACCAATGGCAGGTTTACCGTCTAGCCATCGGAACCTCAGACAACAACTGGAGAAAGATTTTGTAAAAATTTCAATTTACACTTTATTCTCAGTTGTTCTCTTATTTACCCATTGCACTGCAAACCGAAATCATGTGTTTGCAAGCACAGCTGTAACACTTTTGTCTGCGTTACAACCACAAAGAGTAACCAACTCTCTCAGATTTTGTGACATCACTAGTGATTTTGATATTGTATGGGCAACTGGAAAAAAAAACCAAAACATTCATGTCCTAAGTCTGAAGAAGAATTCTGAAGCATTTTTCCCTCTGTATGACTTTTTAAAGCCAGAGAAGGCAGAGACCATATTGAGAAAGTTATCTAAAAAAAAAAATAAACCAGCACAATAGGAAGAAACTTAAGTTTTCCAGCTGATAAAAGAAAAAAACGAACAACTTGCATTAAATATAAGGTGCACCTACCAAATGTTACTCCTTCTTTAGGCTGCTCTTTTTTGTTTTTTAAACTTTCAGGCAAGGTTTTCAAAACTGATATCAGCTGCAAAATTAAATTTTGCACAAAGTATTAGCAAAGCTAAGTAGAGTGTATTTATTAACAGTAAATCTAAGACCTATAAATACAGTACTTAATTTTTTTTAACAGTGAAACTTTGTGAGCTTTTAGAAAATTGTGTCAGTATATTCATAAGACTTGTATCATACACACAAACACACTAAACGCATCCCTGCCACTGAATGACAATTAAAAAAACTCAAGTATTCTTTTATCAATGATCTCCTCTCTGATATTCATCCTAGAACAGGATGAGAGCTGATTATTACGATGAAAAAGCAGATACTCATTTCAATGGAAGAAGTAACTGCAGTGTTTCCAAAGTTGAGTTCTTGAGTTCTTCACTGAACAGAAACCGAACAGCAACGCATAGGACCAACACTGACAGCTTATCACATATCACTCAACTTTCCTCTCAGCAAGGCAAAGTGCTCACAAACACTAAGCTTCAGATCACTCTCCTCTTAACAGCTGCAGTCAACTCAGAACAAGACGAAAAAGAATTCAGTTTACACATGTTAAAAGCAAGGTGTTAATCAGAAGTGACACTAGCTTGCGTGACTTTACCATGTTTGCACCCATCTTTGATAACATCACTTCCAGCTCCTTTGCAGTACAGTGGGGAGGAACAGCAATCTCTTCTTGCTTAATGATTGGACCTACATCAAACCTGGAAGCCAGAAAACATACAAGCTTACTGGAGAAGCTGTAACTCAATCGGCAGTTCAAAAGCAGAAAACATACAAGCTTACTGGAGGAGAAGCTGTAACTCAATCGGCAGTTCAAAAGTCTACATTCAGCACATTAAATCAGTTACTAATTACCCTTTCTTTCCCTCAAACTTTATTTTTCACACATTATTAAATAATGTTTGGTTCACAGACAACACAGGGAAAAGAGTACCAGATATATCTTGGCAAGCAAGAATTCATCTCAGCAAGCTGAGATTGATATGAATGCACAATCTACAGTTCACAAGCACAAGATCTCAGAAGAAACAACATGAAGCAAAAGGGCTTTAAAGTGAAAGAGGGCAGATTTAGATTGGATCTAAGGAAGAAATTTTTCACTCTGAGGGTGGTGAGGCACTGGAACAGGTTGCCCAGAGAAGTTGTTGATGCCCTGTCCCTGGAAGTGTTCAAGGTCAGGTTGGATGAGGCTTTAAGCAACCTGGTGTAGTGGAGGGTGTCCTTGCCCATGGCAGGGGGGGTAGAACTAGATGATCTTTGAGGTCCCTTCCAACCCAAACCATTCTATGATTCTATGAAGCATTCAGAAGACATTTGTTTCATGCTTTCCTGAGATCTGTTATCAGAGAAGCATCTAAGAAAGAAAAGATAACTATGATGTGTTTTCACAAGCGTTTTAAGCCAGAGTTTGTGCTGAAACTAAAATATGTAATCTCTCTCTCATCTCATCACATTTCACTGACCGGAGGTTACAGGCAACTCTGAAGTCTGAAAAGCAGATCTTTTCTGTCACGACATACCAAGTCTACCCATCTAGCTGAGTGGCTTGACTGTTCTCTGCCTGCTCCCTGTAATAATGTTAAGAATTAGAGAACAGGACTAGAGTCTAGAGTGGAAATTACATGCTCACTAAAATACTGTATTTGTGGCAAGTCTCACATGGTCAGATAAATGTTTCTAAGTGTTTCAAATTTTAACATTAAACACACACACCACCCGACCTCCCCCCAAAAAAAAGAACTATTACACAGAATGATTTAAACAATGACTTAAGTGGTGATGATTTAAAGTCTGGAGAGGCAACAGAAGCAGCGTGTTGTTTTGGGAAGCACGTCTAACCTACCTTTTTGGTCTTATTTCCATAATGGTTACCCCAGTCACTTTATCACCATGAAGCACTGTGTGGACTATCGGTGCAGGACCACGCCAGCGTGGGAGACAGCTGGGATGGACATTCAGCACGCCACTGAATTGAAATATTTTAAAGTTAGAATAGGAACAGGACCTGAAGCTGAACCCATATGTAAATGGGTGTGCAACATTTATTACACTGAAACTACTTTAAGAATTAACTCCTCAGACCTTCTGAAGCGTTACTGGTTTAAATACACATTTAAAGGAAAATTCACACTATATAACCTTCAGTTCCTCAGTGAATACAGAAAGGGAAATATGAGGAATAAAAGTAAACATATTATGCTGAACGTTTGCGTAGATCTACATCAACGCATTAAAGAACAACAGTGAACCTCACAAGGACAGAAGCAGGGCTCAGGCTAAGCAGATGAACCGGGGAAAGAAGCTGACCTCACCTGCTACAAGTCACAGGTGCCAACTCAAAAACAGAATCTAGCTTTGCTAACGAAGCAGCCAGAGATATCCCGTCAACTCACTTACTATGGGAACTGCAAAATAAGGTCCTCACTTAGGAGACGTCCAAACGATGCCACCACACCCACATCAAACTGCCCCACAGGTCCTGTGTGAGGCCACTCGTAAACAGGTAGCTGGAGCTCCCGGGCACAGCTCCTCACGGGCAGGTCCCCGGGCAGGTGGGAGGGCAGGGTCACCACCTCCAGCCGGGACACCAG